TTTTTTTTCTTCCTTACAACTCCCCCTGTTCAGAACCTCTTGCGTATGATTTCGAAATGAAATTGAATGCACTGGTTAAAAAAAAAAAAAAAAAAAACTCTTGCGTACATATAATATACATAGATATTTCCTCCTCCTGGTTTTCTTTACCTCTTTTTTGCCTTTTGGCTGCGTGCAAGTCGGTCCTTGTGACACACGGGGATGAGGGCAGTCAGCGCTCAACCTGTCTGTCATCCACGTGGCTGGCCTTGTACGTAAGAGGTGATGAACAGGCGGAGCTTTCCCTTTCCTTCCTTCGTTCCTTTTTTTTTTCTTTTTTTTGTCTTTTTCCGCCTTTGCGCTCTGGTTCACAGTGTGATGACAATATATTGAACACCCACATCATCCTCACCGTAGCTGTCCTATCTGCTGAAACATTGCCTCAGTTCGGATTGTTCTCTGCAACTCGAGAACATGAAGTTGGAATCGCTAGTAATCGCGGATCAGCATGCCGCGGTGAATATGTACTCAGGCCTTGTACACACCGCCCGTCACACCATGGGAATTTAGAAAAAAAGAAAAAAAGAGAAAAAAAGAAAAAAAGAAAAAAGATACGTTGATCTGTGGGATGTGTTATTTGCTTTGTGACAATTGGATTATCTTTCTTTCCCTATCTTTCTTTCCCTGCCAGGTTTGGTTTCCTCCTCCCTTTCTTTACCTCTTTGCCTTTTGGCTGCGTGCAAGTGGGTCCTTGTGACACACGGGGATGGGGGCAGCCAGCGCAACCTGTCATCCACGTGGCTGGCCTTGTACGTAAGAGGTTATGAACAGGTGGAGCTTTCCTTACCTCTTCTCTTTCCCTTTTTTTCTTTTCCTTTTTTTCTTTTCCCTTTTTTTCGCTTCTGCGCTCTGATTCACAGTGTGACAATATATATTATAAAAAAAAATTCAAAAAAGAAACGCTAGACACAGACGGAAGACCATGAAAAGTAATTACTACTTTTCGTTTGGAAAGGACCAAAAAAAAAAAAAAAGACATCAAGAGCAGATCTGACTAAGCCGACGTGAGACTACCCCCGTCTTCACCGGAACACAAAGCACCCCCCCCCATTTCGGCTTTGCCTGACCGGAAAAAAAAAAAAAAAAATAGCTCGTATACATTCATTATCAGGGTGGGTTATGTTCGGGGGAAGACGGGGGGTACCGCCCGCATGGGAAAGGAAGCAGTACTCACAAAATCTCTTACGACCGTCAATCCGATCGGAACCAGGACGACTGACCAGGATCGTCGGATCTGAACCAGGATTGATCTGACGGTCCTGGTTCAGTCAGATGATCCTGGTTCAGTCGGACGATACTGATTTACTGCCATCACCCGGATTGAGAGCGATACGGCAACCCGATCCCGATCGCTCTCAAGCGGGAGCAAAGACAAGCAGACATCAGCGAAAGACACACAGAGAGAGAGAGAGAGAGAGAGAGAGAGAGAGAACCGAAGTAGAAGAGAACGGGGAGTCGCAAAAAAGGTGAGAGAGAGAGAGACAGAGAGAGAGAGAGAGAGAGAGAGAGAGAGGGCGGGGGGTTCAATGCCATCATGGGTTCCGGGATTGAGAGCGAGATGGCAACCCGATCCCGATCGCTCTCAAGCGGCAATTAAGACAAGCATATGGCAGCGAAAGACACAGAGAGAGAGAGAGAGAGAGACAGAGAGGAGGGAAGATGCGGCTCTGGGTCCGGAATCTCTAAAAAGACTGACAGGTGATAAGCATAAGAAGGTGAAGGATATGAATGAATCGGTAATTGGACGGTGGTAATCATGAAGTAGATAGATTGGGATAGGGAAATGGGAAACGATGGAAGGAAGAAGATATGCAATGGAGATGGCATACGGCTATGAACATGAAGGAGATGAACAAGGAGTTTTTTACGGCTATGGAGATGAAGGAAGAAGATGACGGCTATGGATATGGAGGAAGGAGAAGAACGATCCTGGAGATAGAAGCACAGAAAGTTGGCGATGGCGGGAATGGTAGGAGACGAACAATAGGAGATGGATGTGAAGATCATGGCTATGGAGGTGAATCGCAGGAAGAGAATAGAGGTGATATGGTGGGGCGTCCTTACTCTCTATCTTCTGTATCGCTGATTGCCGAGTGGTCCCCACCACTGGCGAGGCCATCGGACTTCTCCGCCGCTTCCACTGACGAAGGTGACATGTCCATCGCCGCCATAACCGCCGCAGCTTCACTCACCCGGGAATCGTCCACCATAGCTACTCCCACCACAGAGAGAGAGAGAGAGAGGTATGCTCTCAAAGAAGAGATGCTCTCTCAGAGCAGCTAGGGCAAAACACGAAGCAACCAGAACCGTCAGATCAACAAGCAACCCACCTAACGGTAGGGCCTCCGTTCTAGCTAGGAGGAGAGGAAGGGAGGAGGGAGGAGGGAGAAGGGAGAAGGGAGAAGAGAGAAGGGAAGAGACCTCAGCAGGTCCTCTTCCCTTCTAATCGGTCGAAATCGGACGGCGACGACCGAATCGCTGCGGGAAAAAGGACAGGACTCGGATGGCCTGTCTCAGAAAACGTTTGGAGGCAAGGTCAGGCAGGAGGGGTGCTTGAGAGAGACGGGCTGACGGCAGAGCCGAGAAAGAAAGGGACAGCCTCGGCAGGGCGGGACGGAGCGGGTCGTTCAGACCTTGGACACCCATGGAAGGAGTCAAAGGGGTACGCATCCAAAGCCACCCCATAGGCCCGTTCGTACTGTGGGTTTTTTGGATATGCAAACGAATGCTGTGATCAGGCAAGGCTTAGCTTCTGATCCCACGCTCCCTGGTGAAGTAACTTTTTTCGACTCTTATGGGATCCCACCTCTCTTCAGCGGTGTGGGGGGCGCGCCGCGCGCCGTTCGTGAAGGAGGAATGTGGAAACGATTGTGGACATGTCACACTGTGGACATGTCACGTGGCGCGCGGACATCGCAGCAAGAGATGTCAAAAAAAGTTGATGGGAGGACCCTTACCCTGTACCATAAAAGGGCAGGTTTTTTTTTGTCTTTTCTATTTATTTTTTGTTGGGCCTCCAATCATGAACGGGGTGCCCACAAGAAAACCGCTGCCAAGTTAGTGAAAGTGTCGTGATGCGCGGGCAGTGGAGTAGGTTTTTTCTTCTCGCAACATACGAGGCACGTCCGAGTTTTTCGATTACAAAAGTTTGGTGTGGGATCAGTCCCTTAAGTTGGAGCGAAACGTGATGGTGGTCTCAAAATATCTGTTGGAACTGAGGGTTGGACTATGAAGAAAGAAACAAAAAACAGAAGAACAAAAAAACAAAGAAAAAAAACATTTGGTTATGATAGCAATTAGATTCATTCAGGAAAGTACTTGTGTGACTATGCCCTTAGTTGTGAAAAAGATCAGATACATTTTGAAACGAATATTTAGTTGTGATAAAGATCAGATATATTTTGAAAAGTACGTGAGTATGTCCTCAGTAAGGGTCAAATACTAGTATGAACTTGCACTCAATGAGTGTTTTTCCTCATAATGTGGAATACGGTTCGGGCCTTACTTTCCTCGAAACATGGAATACAACCCGACTCGCTGACAAAAATATATATATATTTGATCATAATAGTCGTCATATACATTATAAAAAGTATTACCTCGTAGGTTGATAGTGAGAATATACCCTTATACTTGGTAGTGTGGGTATGCCCTTGTATTTCTCGTGCTATTGTCGGCACAAGGTACAACACTTTAGTTCCAAGGCAGAATAACACCGATACCTCTTTTTTTTTAAAAACGATATACACTGTAGATTAGACTTATGGTTCAAAAATGCGAAATGGGGGCTTCCAACCGTAGCAGTATGAAAGGCGGGAACAATTTTGGTAGTTATGAGAGCCATAACTTGTAGCTTCAACATCCCTCGAAGAGTGTCGATATATTTTCAATGATGCCAAACTTATAAGCAATGTTTTATATGGCAACAGTAACATATTGCTCCTTTTTAAAATGCAATTAGCAGGCACCGAACAACCATACCCTTAAACTATCAACTATATTTACAACATTTATGACTTTGTGAAACCTTTAAAACCTTATTATAATCTTTATTGAGAGTTTTTACGCCGCAGGGATATTATGAACTTTTTTTTTATAAAATTAAAATTTGGTGTTATTTGCATGTTAAGAATATGTAAATATCATGTAACTAGTATGTTGATGAACGTTTATGAAGTTAAGTTTATTAACTTAGCATCATGAAACACATTTGTGGATATTAATAATTGCTCGTGTTTATATTGTTTGCATAATTATTTGACAAATTTTTTAACTGTTTTTTTCTTATACAAAATCATTGTTATATTGTAGTGTATTGTACTTAAAATCAATTTCATTCGTCTATTATTTTGTTACGAGCAAGGTTGTCAGTGTTCAGGACGGGACGAACGCCTAAACGTTCCGCACCCTCTCTCGACGCGTTCGACCGTTCGGCCGAACGCGGACCCC